TGCCCAAGCCCACAAGTCCAACATTAACCCATTAAGCCAACACCAGTCCACAAAGTCCTCCACCTCACAAAACAGAGGCAATGATGCCGACTGCAGGAGGAAAGCTCAGTCAGTGAACGAATAAGCATCTCAGCACTAGCAGGGGTCTCCACAAGGCTGCTCCAGCACCCAGGGCTGCATCGGGATAGGTCCATGTGGCTTCTCCTTGGGGATGTCTTGTAGGAAGTCAATCTTGCAAGCTAAAGCAGGGAGCTGCTAAGGCAGCTGCACCCTGGTGCGACCATCACAAAGCAAGAGACCCGAGAACTAGAAAGGCGAGGCTCACCACCCATTTATCTCTCCGCCTTTCAATTAGCCCCACATGTGAATATCGGCCAGGTTGGCACAATTAACTCACCCCCTCAACCACAAAATTATTTCGTTGCTACTTCATGACTGTCATTTTGCTACTGTTACGAATCGGGCGACCCCTGTGAAAAGTGGTTCGACCCCCAAAGGGGTCACGACCCACAGGCTGAGAACCGCTGTTCTAGAAGCTTACAAAGGAGAAAATCAAAGTGGCCTGAAGTCTGGCAATGAGTCTTTACATTCATCAACAAAAACACAAATCATGAAAGGAAAAACATCCATAAATGAGGCTTCATTAAAATTAAAAATTCCCATTCTGCAAGAGACTTAACCGGACAAACAACAAACGAATAAGCCCACTGCTATGCAATCGATTCGGACTCACAGCACCCCACAGGACAGGATGCAGCTGCTCTCTGATTCTCCAAGGCTGTAACTCTTTATGGAAGCAGACAGCTTCCATCCACCTCCAGGGCTCAACTCACAGCACCACCAGGGCTCCCCACTCATGCCATCAGGGAATTTCCAACTAAAACACCACTGACATCAAAGCACACTTTGTACCATTGAAACCAGTAGAGTTCTGACCCAGGCAGACCGGCTACACTCCTAAACATCATCAAGTCCAACTAACTACTCAAAAGGATGTGGCCCATCAGGAACGCCCATGCTCCTTTGAGGGAATGCTGGCCGAGTGGGTCAACCACTTTGGAAGACAATTTAAACATAACCTTATCACAAATCCAGCAGTTGTGTTTGTGGGGTTTGTTTATTTATCCAAATAACTTGTAAATATGTCTACACAAAATGAGCAGCGTTATTCATACTTGCCAAAATTTAGAAGAAATGAAGATGTCCTTCACTAAGTGAATGTATAAACAGTGGTACACCCACACAATGGAACAGTATTCCGTGATAAAGAAATGAGTTATCAAGTCCTTATAAAAAAAACACTTAGGGGAGCCTTAAATGTATACTGTTAAATTAAAAAAACAGCCTGACAGAGCAACTTACTGGCTGATTCCAAGGAGAAGACTATCTGAAAAAGGCAACACTACGGACACGTAAACAGATCAGCAGTTGCCAGGAGTTTGGAGGTGGGAACAATAGGCAGAGATTTGGGGGGCAGTAAAATAATTCTGTACTATACATGCTACAGGAGCCCTGGAAGTGTACAGGTTATGTGTTGGGCTACTAAGCTCAAGGTCAGCAGTTTGAAACCATGAACTGCTCCATGGGAGAAAAATGAGGCTTTGAGTCGCAGAAATAGTTACAATCTTGGAAACCCACAGAGGCAGTTCTACTCTGCCCTACAAGGTCTCTATGAGTCAGAATTAACCAGATGGCAGTGAGTGTGATTTTTTGCTTTAATATACATACTGTAAGGTGGATGCCTGACAATAGGTACAAAGTATGAACCCTAATGTAAACTATGAACTTAGTTAATAAAAACATATCCATATTGGTTCATCAACTGCACCATATTAATAAACTATATCAATAGGGGGGATTGTGTATGCCTGGAGTAGGAAGGGCATATGTGAACACTGTCCTGACCACTTTTTCTGTAAACATAAAACAGACTGCTAAATGAATAAGCAAATGTCTTCAAAGTATAGCAGCAAAGCTCCTCCAAAGTACAGATAAGACTTTGTCACACTTACTTTGAACATGTATCAGGAGAGACTAGTCCCTGGAAAAGGACATCATGCGTGGTATAGTAGAGGGTGTGAAAAAGAGGAAGAGGCTCAATGAGATGGACTGACACAGTAGCTGCAGCAATAGGTTCAAACACACTGATAATTGTGGAGGCCTGTGTGCTGTTGTACATAAGGTTCCTTGAGTCAGAACCAACCCAATGGCAGCTAACAAAACAGCTCTAAAAATGAGGGTCTTAAAAAAAAAGAGGGTCTATTAATAAAACATAATAAACAAAGACAATAGTCAACTACTAGCAATTCCATCTGTCCCAACCTACTAGTAAAAGTTTTCTATGAAAAGCCAAATGATGGCAATTGTTCAATTTCTTCCCAATAATTTACTATAAAGTAGTCTATATTTGGAAGCAATACTAATGGATCACTTGTGGATGAATGAAATAACAATAAGCCTTCAGTACAGACCCAATTTAAATTAAATAAATAGCTAATGAACTTCTCAGAAACACATACTAGACAAAAAATAGACTACTCTCATTATTACTTCATTCTTTTCAAAGTAAGTATATATATATATATATATAAAAACTCTTCAAAGATAGCTTTGGAATGTGGCCTAAAACTCAAGATTATAAGAAAGACCAAGGTTACTGGTCTGACAGACTAAAGACTATGGAACTCCTAAGACTATAGGCTTTAGGCCCCCCTCCCACCATGCAACTGAATGGAACTTTCTGCCAAATGACAGGCAGGCCTATAAGGTGAACAATTCACACCAGAGGAGTGCACACTCATTATAACAATCCACCTATGAGATCAACAGGGCAGCATTGCCGGGGACATCACAGAAAGGCACAGGAAAGAAGAACGAAGGGAACTGGGACACACAGGCTGGAGGTGGAAGAGTGCTGTTCCATTACAGGGGCTGCAACCCATGTCACAGACAAAACGTGTATGAATTGTTGAGTAGAAAATCAACTTGCTCTATAAATTTTCAGCCGAATCACTCACTCCCAGTTGTTGGACAGAACAAGTATTTCTACATATAAAAACTACAGTCCACAGGAGAGAAGTCTTGCTAAGGCTGAACACACAGTGAGCTGTAAAATAAAAATGAAATCCATGCCTTGTCTCAAAATTAGCCAATAATCTATCAGAAATTCAAGAATAAGCGTAGTTTTTATTTACTTGGGATTATTAAAGGGCTATAGCACAATGGTCTACAGCATTGTCTCCCCTTTTTAAAAACTTACTAACAATTTTGATCCTAAAAGTTCCAAGCTTGTAAATCCAGTGCTATTTTAAACTCATCTTCCATAAAAACAGTGTTTTGATGGGTGCACAAGCAAATGTGGTGAAGAAAGCTGATGGTGCCCAGTTAGCGTCTGGGGTCTTAAAGGATTGAAGTTAAACAAGCAGCCACCTAGCAGAGAAGCAACAAGCCCACATGGAAGAAGCATACCAGCCTGTGTGATCTTGAGGTGCCAACCCAAAACAAACACACAAAAAATCATAGTGTTGAGAATGAGGTAGTTGGAGCAGAGACCCCAAATCCATCTGTAGACAATGAGATATCCCCTCACAGAAGGGTCACAAGGAAGGGATGAGTCAACCAGGACGCAGTATAAGATTGATAAAACACAATATTCTTCTGGCTCCTTGAGTCTTCCTGACCCCCAACTATCATGATCCCAAACCTGCCTTTCGTCACTTTGGGCTAGACTGGAGCATTTACACAACACATGGAATCCCAGACAGATAAACCCTCAGGAACAGAATGGGAGTAGCAATACCAGGAGGGTATGGGGAAAGAGAGGAGGAAGGGGAACTGATTGCAATTATTGACACATAACCATATATGTACAACACAAACACACACCCAGGGGGACGAACAACAGAAACCATGGGGGAAGGGAGACAGCAGTCATGGCGGAAATAATAATTTATAATTATCAAGGGGTCACAAAGGCAGGAAGGGGGAAGGAAGGTGAAAAAGAGGGCTTGATACTAAGGGCTCAAATAGGAAGCAAATGTTTAGAAAATAATGATGGCAACATTTATGTACAAATATGCTTGATACAATTGATGTGTGGATTGTTATAAGAACTGTAAAAGCCCCCAATAAAAAGATCTTCTAAAAAAAACACAACAGCATTGAGTAGTAATTAAGTAGTTGCATTAGCTCATAAAAGTCGATGTAATTTAACATAACTGTAAAACAAAACGGCAATCCTTCCATAGAACTCAAGTAAGGAAATACATGTCACATAAACTGCCAATCCCCTCCTCCTTTTCTTAAGCTACAGTTTTTGGGGGTTTTTTTCCTCAGAAAAAAAGAAAACATTTACATCAGAACAAATGCTGAAAGGAAGACATTTGAGGAAAACACTGTAGGAATCCTGAAAGCACTGAATTTTGAGGTGTTTTTTTTCCATAGGGAATAAACACTAAAGCAATTTGTTGAGGGAGGAAATAAATTACTCCTAGAGAAGCAAATCATAGACCCAAGATAAATAACCTAAAAAATGGAGAGAGATTCCTAAGATAAGAGGTGAAAGTGAAAGGTAGGGGTGAGCAAAGACAAATATGGTACGGGCTCCTGAGGGGCACATCTGCTGGACTCTCACCTGGAACTCCAAGGGCTTTTTTCCTTCTTGCTTCCTTCCTTGAGTTAAATCAGAGTAACTATTAAGAACTGGGAAGACAGGTGAGGTGGGAGGGCTAGACAGTATATGGTGGGCACTTTTAACCCAAGAAGTATGGCCAATGAAATCTACCTGTGCCTACAATTAGTGTCTTACTGCATTATTCAAGCTACTCAAATCTCCTTTCCACTGCTAAATGGCATCTTGGATAGCAATAATAATTTATTTAATGCAGGTGTCTCAGATCTGGCCTCTTTGCCTCAGCAGGACCCACTACTAGGAAAATAGCTGCCAGGACGCATGCACATCCCACCATTGAAGACAGGGAGAAGGGGGGAGGGAGACCAACCTGCCTCTGCATTCAGCTCCTCTAGAAGCCCGCTGGTCCTCCAGGTAGCTCCTGGGTCCTGGCCGCCCACAGAATTACTGTGCTCTTGAACTACTGCAGCCGCCAATAAAGTGTCCACATTTACCACTTCTGGGTCAGAGCTGGTGTCAGATATATCATAATGAGCTACAACTGGAGGTCCATCTAGGGAGGAAAGAAAATGTATACTTGTATCTAACTTGTGGGGTGAAAAATACTTTTGAAATGAAATAAAGAGCCCTCTAAAAGGCAGCTGTCTTTATCTTATTACTCCTAGCTGAGCTGAAAGGTTGTACGTTTACATCTACAACTTTGCACATGGTGTGAAGGTGGAAAAAGGTAACCCCAGAATACAAGGATGAGAGACAACATTTGCAGAGGAGAAGCAGGCTCATTATGAAGAACAATAGACAAGACGATGTAGAGCAATGTTACAATGAATTCTCACCACACTCCTCGAGAGCAAACGATTAAGAAAAGGGGAACAACTGACAGAGGGAAATGGACTTTTTCTTCTCAAGGAAAAGAACTGAAGCAAACTGACACTTGATTCACAAGGTAAGAGAGGGAATCTAGCTCGTTCTCTTCACAGATAACACTGCAAGTTCCTATTAGAGAAGAAAACCATAAATACATTTTCCTACTTGCTAAAGAAAGTTACCATTAAAACTTACTTGACTGGCTTATTCATTTCCGATAAAGCTCATGTGTACCAATAGGAATATTATAAATTAAACCAAAAAAATGCAATATCCATAAAATTGACTTTCAGGATTTTGCTTTGGATGTTTTGTGACGGGTATTTATATTTTCTTTTTGTGTGTGAAAAAGACAATCAGCTCATACTCCAGGGGAATGACATGCAATTTGAAGGCTGAGCTTAGAAGAAGGCATTCTTTACTGCTCAGGGGAAACAGAGATCCCTTCTATTCCCAAATCACCCTGAACGGCTTGTACAAAGGCAGTTTAGGTGAGTTCCAAAGTAATTACACTGCAGGGATTCATGCTAAAATAATTCTACTTCATGCTTGTGAAACAAAGACATGCTTTAAATTTTTTCAGCAGCTAATGCTACTTTTTCTAACAGCAAAAAGCAAAAATTAAACATTTCAGTCAAGAAAGAAAGGTACCCCTCATTCTCAGCCCCTCTTTAGAAAAAAGCTGAATAAAAGAATGCTATTTGACCCCATGGCTATTTATGAAATGCAAGCAAACAATATATCACCAGAGATTTTTAAAATATTATCTATCATGAATATTACAACACACCTGTACTACAAAAACTATGAAGAAACTGAAGGAACACATAATCCGGTGAGCTGTTAACTGTAACACAGGGAGGACTGCTGCTTTAAGCAAACGTCCACTGGCAAACTGTCACTGAACGAAAAGCTTGCCATCGTGCACTTGAGGCATTCATCCTGAGGCTAAGCTCTCAGGCTATACGCTCACACAGCAACATATTTTAGAGGCATTAACATAATAGCAAATGAGTTGTTAGGTGAAATTTTATAAAGAACAGACATTTTACAATATGAGATTCTGACAATCACAATTCCCACTGACTGCATAAAAAATAATTGCCAGGTTCCCCCAAAGGGTAAATCCAGTTCATCAATGACCAACTCATGCAATTATATATGGTTTCAGTACTGATTGGTAATGAGTTTTACATCAAAGAACAAAAACAAAACAAAACAGAAAGAATTCATGTTTGAGAATTCTTTTTGAAGAAAGAAAACTGTAGGATTCCATCGAGATCTTATCAGAGCTCAAAATTATCATTATGGAATCAAAGTATGGAGTGATGTTCAAACACTGGGGTGTGGAAGGGTCAAGTACAATATTGACTATTTGACCATATGGTCTCATTTTAAGTTTTTTTTAAAGTAGTGGATGTTTGAGATCCATTATGTTAATTTTTCAAAATTGTTATGATCAGTACCATCCACAGCCTCTTATCACATCCCCCCAGCACCAAACTGAGGTGACAGGTCAACAGGTCAAGTCAAAATTGTACCACTGCTACACGGATGATCATGCAAACAGCAGATTTAGACACATGCATGGCATCACCTACCCATGGAAACAACTTGTCTGAAAGTCTTCATCAGAAGGAAATACAAGCATACACTTGTTATCTGGCTTCATTCTTGAATCTTCCATATTTCCACACAGCACACCTTTTAACTTAGCTTGAGTTTAGTATTCATCATAAACAAAGATACAGTATTTCCACATTTTAATTACATTTCACAATTCAGATAAAATACGATCACTCTCATTTCCCCGCCCCTAATTCCAGCACATTCAAAAGATGGCAAAGCAGTACTAGACTTGAGTAAAGGGAAGAAATGGCTGCCGTGCCAAGTCTGTCTTCCGAGAGGCCACAGTGAAGGAGCTTGTGGTTCTGTCACCACCTCCCTTAGCAACCAAGAGTAAACTGGCTTAGAGCATTTAACACAGGTGCTTGCACTTTGAACCACTAAACAAGTACCTGGCAAACCGATGATGCCAATTTGTGATATTCCTTTAGAACAGGGTTCTTAACCCGTGGGTCACAACCCATTGGGGGATCGAACGACCCTTTCACAGGGGTTGCCTGATTCATAACAGTAGCAAAATGACAGTTGTGAAGTAGCAATGAAAATCATTTTAAGGTTCGGGATCACCACCACCTGAGGAACTGTGCTAAAGGGTCCTAGCACTAGGAAGGTTGAGAGCCACTGCTTTAGAAATGAAGCCCTTGCTGCACAAGACAACTAGGAGGCAAATACAACTCTCAGTGCCTTCATGCTTTTTGAAGGAAGTTTCTCTTGAAGAAAAAGGCAGGCCACTAAGAAGGAATTAGAAAAACTCAGTACATAGAAAACAGAGCAGATATTCCGTCTCCTGGTTTGACAGGTCAGAGGAAGTGGAGACACACTGCCCCTTGTTCTCACTCGCTTATTCCTTTTGTTGTTGAGACAACTGTATTGCCAGGAGATTATTTTCATTTTCATCAGCCTCAAAATAGCCACATCAAGTTACACATGGAAATATTTCCAATTTAAGATTCAGTCATTTTCTCAAGCTTCATGTTCCATGCTTACAAACACTTCAGGTTGTCCATTCACACCGCACATTCTGCAGTCTGCCCAACTGTGGTTGTCTGTCACAAATCTTAGTACACCAATGTCTAACAATGAAATCAGTAATTTCTCTACAGGCATTAAAAGCACTCATTCAGTAATTCAAGTGTTCAGTAACAATGAGGTCTATCATTTATCCAGGCGCCTTTTCAATTTTGGGTTGAAATATTTTTTAAATAAATGTTTATTGCTCATCACCATGACAAGGCAAGACACAAAAAGTTGAGCAAGCCACCAATTATTTTTTTATGTACAAAGTCCAATGGATGAGAACTATTTTAAACTGCTTTCATGTAGACTATTTGTGGTTTTCGAAGGAAATCAGCTCTATTCTTGGCCAGGGGTCAGCAAAACCAGGTCCCCCATGGCCCAACCAGCTTGTCGGTTTCTGTAAACAGTTTCAATACTACAGAGCCCTGCAGAGATCCTATGCATTACCGCTCTGAGCATTATACAGTTTCCCCGAAAATAGGACAGTGTCTTATATTAATTTTTGCTCCCAAAGATGCGCTAGGTCTTATTTTTCCATGAAGAAGAATATGATACACATTCTCATTCTACAGATGAGATGTTGGAATCCTACTTAGGTGTAACCAAATCCACAACAGATGTTCTCACTTTTGAGGGAATGACGGTTACACAAGATGAGACTGAGTTTTGGCAGAAGATGCCAGGTTAGAGCGACTACTTCTCAGCTGTTCGGTAATTACTTCACTGCTCAGCTTTTTCCAAGGGTTATAGTGAGGGTTAAAGAAGGCATAACATAAAACAAAGTGCTGTTGTGTCCCATCAAGTAGAACTCCCCGCAAGGGTTTCCATGGCTGTGATATTTACAGATTAGATCTTTGTTCTCCAGTTGGTAGGTTCCAACAGCCTTGCAACCACTGGCAGTTGAATGCTTAACCATTTTATCTCCAGGGCTCATGACTGAGTTCAAAGTTTGGCCCAGAGCCAACACCTTTCCACTGTATGAATTGCCCTGGGCTTCATTATTTTAGTATCTTTGCATGTACACTTTGCTGTGCACACCCTGAATGCCAGAAGCTATAAGAAACATCACTGCCTAGGCCTGTGCCTTCTATGAGGGAACCCCAAGAAGTTCTTAGGAAAATAAAACAAAAAGATAATGGAAGTTTCCCACAAACTTTGATCACAGATGAACCCAACTTTTAAGTAAATGCTCTGCTGTGATTAACTGTTGAGAGGTCCTCAGAAAGTGGTTTTGCGTTTTTATTCTGAAGTGCAGTATCAGCTTGGACACATTCCTATTACAAGTGTTTTAAAGCCAAAGAGAGACAATTTTTGCATTACAGACCCCTTCCACTAACACAAGTGCTGTCTCCCTTGATGCGGCATAATTAGATAGAGGAACTAGTAATTCCTCTTGTATCCCAGAGAAACCTGGGAAGGTCATTACTCCTTTACTTTGTACTGCCTAAGTCTCAGACTCCAAGAATGCTGGGCTACAACCCACCCCAACCCCATCACCCTCCCTGTTCAACCACAACAAAAAGATAACATTGTTTGCAAATAAAGCATTCTTCAACCACAAAAGACAAGTAAGTCTAGGTCGCAAAGTGCCATCTCGAGGAAAGCAGCTGAAAGATAAAGTTGCACTGGTCTTCAGAAGCACGTCAGAAAGTTGTGTTTTGTTTTTGTAAAATGTCCAAGAATTCAGGGGGGAAATGGAAAAGAAATTCAGCAATATGCACTGAATTTTGTGTTTAGAAGTTACATCATTTCTTAAATAAAACTAAATCGATATCTATTTTGTACTTTTCCCACTATACTCATCTCAATTGCTAAGAATGTAAACTTTGAACTTTCCAAGGTGAGAATAAATACAAGAATTATATTTGCCCTTACAGTGCTTAATTCTGTGGACTTGACGTTATTTCACCACTTTGAAAGGCTCAAAAAACAAGGTGAAAACAAAGATTAAAATGATCAGGAAAATTAAAATGTTGAGCAAATGTAAATCCATTTCATTGTAATGTTTCATCCCCAACTCAAGAATCGGACAAGCTCAAATCT